TTTATTTATTTATTTATTTATTTATTTATTTATTTATTTATTTATTTATTACATTTATACCCCGCCCATCTAGACACAAGTCTACTCTGGGCGGCTAACAATAAAAATAGAATAAAAACAGTGTAATAAAACAAAAAGCAACAATAGTAATATCGTTCAAGATGGGGAAAAAATAAAAATAATCAGGTGATGATAGGAGGGAAAGCCTGCCTAAAGAGCCAGGTCTAAAGTTGGCTCTTAAAAACACCCAGCGAAGGAGCCAGACGGATCTCCGGGGGCAGACTGTTCCAAAGGCGAGGGGCCACTGCCGAGAAGGCCCGGTTTCTTGTTTTTTCTCTCCGGACCTCCCTCAGCATTAGACCCTCTCAGCCGCCCCTCCTGGTTAGAACGAGTGGTTCAGGGAGATATAGGTAGGAGGAGGCTTTCCGCTAGATATCAATATCCTAAACCATTTAGGGCTTTATATGTCATCATTAACACTTTGAAATCAATGCGGAAGTGAACGGGCAACCAATGCAAGACAGCCAGAGTGGAGGAAATATGCTGATATTTTCTCACCCCAGTGAGAAGTCTGGCCGCCGCATTCTGCACCATTTGAAGCTTCCACATCAATCTCAAAGGTGGCCCCACGTAGAGCGCATTACGGTAGTCTAATCACGAGATTACAAGCGCATGGACCAGAGTGGTGAGCACCCCAACGTCGACATAGGGACGCAGCTATTATCACTTGCTCCAAAAAGAGAAATAAGCATTGGGAAGTCTAGTCTCCTGCTGTTCTCCAGCACAGATTAAAACTTGCAGGGCCATATCGAGCCATTTCGGAAACCAGAATAGGCTGCGCTGTCTCCCTCCTATTGAACTGTGAGTTACGGGCACCAGCCTCCCATGAAAAGGGAAGAGAATATGGTGTTAACCAGGAGAAAATTCTATATTTTCCAAAAAAAAAAGGGGGGGAGGGGGTGGATATAGAGCCAGAAGGTGCTGCTATTTCTCTTTTTCTTTTTCTATTTCTCTTTTCACCCTTGCACGGCCCTGGAAGTTGTAAGTCATTTAAAAAGGGTGGAAAGGGATGGTGGAGAGGGAAGATCGGAGTGGCTGGTTGAGCAGAAGAGAGGCGGCAGACAAATCCGGAAGCGAGATACATCTCAAATATTAGCTGAGCCGTTTCTGACGTTTGGGGAACTGGCTCAGGTTGGTTTTAAGCCGATCTGATTTCGAACAGGGAAAACATTGCCGATTTCCCCTGATTCTTACCCCCATAGCTGGCGCTCCGGGGAATCCTTGCATGCCCTGACGAGTAAGGAAAAACAAAATCAACACAAAATAAAACCTCTTTACAGATGCGGTTCGGTGATTTCGGTTTCTGGCTATAGAGCCATAGGTCAGGGGTTCGATTCCTGCCTCCCGCCCCCTCTCCGTGTCTCCTGCAAGTAGAGCCAGCCTATGTAGCCCTTGGCAAGCTGTACAGCCCCGGGGCGCCCCATGAAGGAGGGAATGGTAAACGACTTCTGATGATTCTCTGCCTGGAAAACCCTGAAAAGGGTCAGCATGAGTCACGACTGACTTTGCAACAGGCAATTATTATTATTAAAGGTGCAATCATAGGTTTGCATATTAGGGGGGGAGTAAGCCCATTGAACTCAGTAAGACTTAGTCCTGAGTAAACATGCATGGAATGGGGCTTCTTGAAATATTTGCACTGCCTTAAGGAATTGCATTTCAATTTGCCAATGTTTTGGCTGTGAATGCACTGGATTTTGGTATTCCGAGACTGAAGACTTGACCTCAGTTCTAGTAATTCCCTAAAATCATTCTTTGCCCCTTTGCCCCTTCATCTCTCTGTACTAGTTTCACTTACTTGGTCTCCTTTAGGTCCGACAGGGCCTGGAAGACCCTAAAAGAAAAAAAAAATTAAGGAGCTCAAAAGATGAAAGTTGAGTTTAAAAAACATACCATTGCGATACATTAATTTATCTGGTTCTGGATCTTGAAGGGAAGATCTAATTTGCCTTAGGAAAGAATATGCTTCAGAGTCATCGTATTTGAAGCTTTTCAAGACTCTTTGTGCTATTCAGAATCAAAACAGCAGGCAGAAATTGTCACAAGGGGTATAATAAAATTGTTTGGGGAATTACAGAGAGAGGCATTTTGCCCCCAAGTTTGGAAAATTTAGCACTGGAAGTAATGCTTAGCAAATTTGAAAATGCAGTTAAGTTATGTTAATGGGTTTTTTTTCCTTTGCGAATGTTAGAAAGTTCCTAACCACCCTTAGCAGACTGCAAACGTGAACTGCGAAAGCATATTAGCTCACAAAAGTAACTTTTCCAGGCTCTGCGTGAAACCTTACACAAAAGGACACATCAGGTCAAAATACTGGCTTACCGCAATTCCTTGGAGACCCTTCGGCCCGACATCTCCGCGCTCTCCCTGCAAAGGACAAAGCAGGAATCCTGATACCACGCTGCCTGGGGGGCATGAGAATGTTTTGCAATCTGGCCCACCAAGAAAGCACCGTGGACTCTCCTGTTCTGCGTTCATCTACCAGGCCTTTTGTGGAAGAGGCTGATGTCATCATGGCAAAGCCAGTAGGGCAGAACGGTGACATGGTGAAGGATGAGGATAAGCAAAAATCCACCAATATGCGATGCGAAGCAAAACAAACTCTGCTGCTTATATACTGCCCCATAGCACTTAAACCACTCTCCAGGTAGTCTACATTTTATTTACACATTGCCACCCTAGCATGCTGGGTACTCCATTTACTGACCTCGGAAGGATGGAGGGCTCAGTGAACCTTGAGCTGGCTACCTGAGCCCATCCGGATCAAACTCAGGTGGTGAGCAGAGTCTTGGCTGCAGTACTGCAGTTTAGTCACTTGCTATAAGGCTCTGTGATGCATGATTCAGAACTGCTGGATAGCTCAGGGGTTTAGGGATCTAGCTGCGGGGCCAGAGGTTGGGAGTTCGATTCCCCACTTGTGCCTCCTTGACAGGGGCTGGGCTATCCATAGGTTCCCTCTCAGCTCTGTAGTTCTAAGATTATTGTATTGTATGATTTGAGACATGATTCAGCATCTTATACTTCAGAAGAGCAGAGTGCAGTGGAACTGTGGAAAATGGAGTAGGCTAAACATAGAATTTCAGCAAAGCTGCTCTGGTGCAATATATTGTATGCAATTCCAAAGACTCAGGATATCAGGTCAAGGTGGTAAATAGACATGGGGACAAATATAAATACGAATCAGGATATTCAACGAATATCCCTGATTCGTTAGATATTTGTTGCTTCATATTCTTGGAGTCCAGAGACCCTGAAGAATAGTAAGCAACAAATATAACCCTTTATTATTCATTCCACCCCAGGGCTGGGAGGTCTTTTGTTGGGTCCCCCCCCTCTTTCTACACCCCAGCAGCGGCATAGGAAGGCTGTGGGGCCGGGGCTTTTTTTTAAATAGCCCCAGGGGCCGTCTAAAAAAAAGACCTAATGAACCAACAAATTGATTTGTGATTCGTCAGAACACTGGGGGGGGTAATTCATAGTTCAGTTTGACGACCCACCAACCAAGACGAATCGCCATTTTGATGCTTCATCCCCATCTCTAGTGGTAAACTGTCAGAGCTGCCTCGTTTCCCTTAATCCCATGCTAATTTCACCCCACCCCAACAGCCGCCCTCAACCATTCGGTGTGTGTTCGAGACTCTGCAATTCTTTTAACAGCGGATTGGGACCAGAGACAACTGAGCACAGATTTCCCCCTCAGAGATGAAGCACTGTGGTTGATGGTGGGCTTGTCGTTCTCTCCCCGCTGAGCCTACCTCACAGCGCTGTTGTGAGAATGAAAAAAGAAGAAGGGGAATAAGCCCTTCCTTTCTTGGAAGAGAAAGAAGATTAAAATGTCACAGAGAGACAGCTCACCTTTTCCCCTTTGTTACCATCCGGGCCTTTTTTACCCTATAATTTATGAAACACCAAAATGAAACATCGTTATTCAAAGCATATTATTCCATTTTCTAGGGGGAGTCTCACATTTTGCAAGAGGGTTAACTTGCCACATCCCACCCACCCCAGTAAGAGCAGGGGCTTGATCTGACACACATCGGTCTGGTGCGCTGTGGGAGGTGGGGGGGTGTTTCACTCTCTTTTCTGGGTAAATCAGACCACATAATCGCTAGCGCGAACCGACTCCATGCCCAGAACAGCCCTACCCGTCTCTTTCTCATCCCTTGTCAGAAGCTTCTACTTGTTTCAATGCAGGTGGGTTTGCTCTAGTTTGGTCCATTTCCAGCACATGAGATGGCTGGGAATGGACCAAGAAATCTTATCACAGAAATCATAGAAAAGTGAAGTTGGAAGGGTCCTACAAAGGCCATTGAGTCCAACCCCCTGCTCAAGGCAGGAATACAATCAAAGCAGATCTGCCAGGTGATTATCCACGTTTTTCTTGAATGCCTCCAATGTTGGAGCGCTCACCAACTCCTGAGGTTACTTGGTTCCACTGTCATACTGCTCTAACAGTTAGGAAGTTTTTCCAGATATTCAACCAAAATCTGGCTTCCTTTAACTTGAGCTCATTGTTGCATGTTCTGCACTCTGGGATGATCAAGAACAGATCTTGCCCCTCCTCTGCATGACAGCCTTTCAGATATTTGAAAAGTGCTATCCTATCCCCCCCTCAGTCTTCTTTTCTCAAGGCTAAACATGCCCAATTCTTTCAGCCTTACCTCATAAGGTTTGGTTTCCAGTCCCCTGATCCTCCTTGTTGCCCTCCTCGTTCATCTACCAGGCCTTTTGTGGAAGAGGCTGATGTCCATCATGGCAAAACCAGTAGGATATAATGGGCAGAACGGTGACATGGTGAAGGATGAGGATAAGCAAAAATCCACCAATATGCGATGCGAAGCAAAGCAAACTCTGCTGCTTATATACTGCCCCATAGCACTTAAACCACTCTCCAGGCAGTCTACAATTTATTTACACATTGCCACCCTAGCAAGCTGGGTACTCCATTTACTGACCTCGGAAAGATGGAGGGCTCAGTGAACCTTGAGCTGGCTACCTGAGCCCATCCAGATCAAACTCAGGTGGTGAGCAGAGTCTTGGCTGCAGTACTGCAGTTTAGTCACTTGCTATAAGGCTCTGTGATGCATGATTCAGAACTGCTGGATAGCTCAGGGGTTTAGGGATCTAGCTGCGGGGCCAGAGGTTGGGAGTTCGATTCCCCACTTGTGCCTCCTTGAGAGGACCTGGATTTGATGATAGGAAGGCTGTGGGGGCTGGGTATTTTTTTTAATAGCCCCAGGGGCCGTCTAAAAAAAAAAGACCCAACGAACCAACAAATTGATTCGTGGTTCGTCAGAACACTGGAGGGGGAATTCATGGTTCAATTTGACGACCCACCAACCAAGACGAATCGCCATTTTGCCACTCCGTCCCCATTTCTAGTGGTAAACTGTCAGAGCTGGGGAGTCGGTTAATTACACTTGCCTCGTTTCCCTTAATCCCATGCTAATTTCACCCCACCCCAACAGCCGCCCTCAACCATTCGGTGTGTGTTCGAGACTCTGCAATTCTTTTAACAGCGGATTGGGACCAGAGGCAACTGAGCACAGATTTCCCCCTCAGAGATGAAGCACTGTGGTTGATGGTGGGCTTGCCGTTCTCTCCCTGCTGAGCCTACCTCACAGCGCTGTTGTAAGAATGAAAAGAAGAAGAAGGGGAATAAGCCCTTCATTTCTTGGAAGAGAAAGAAAATTAAAATTGTCACAGAGAGACAGCTCACCTTTTCCCCTTTGTTACCATCCGGGCCTTTTTTACCCTATAATTTATGAAGCACCAAAATGAAACATCGTTATTCAAAGAATATCATTCCATTTTCTAGGGCAAGGTGAACGTGTGCATATCAGAGTCTCACATTTTGCAGGAGGTTTAACCAGGCACATCCCACCCACCCCCAGTCAAGAGAGTAGGGGCTGGATCTGACACACATTTGTCTCACTGTCTGGTGCGCTGCGGGGGGGGTTTCACTCTCTTTTCTGGGGGATCAGACCACATAATTGCTAGAGCAAACCGATTCCATGCCCAGAACAGCCCTACCCACCCCTTTCTGATCCCTTGTTTCAATGCAGGTGGGTTCACTCTAGTTTGGTCCCTTTCCACCACATATAGCTGGGAATGGACCAAGAAATCTTAGAAATCATAGAAAAGTGAAGTTGGAAGGAGCATACAAGGCCATCAAGTCCAACCCCCTGCTCAAGGCAGGAATACAATCAAAGCAGATCTGCCAGGTGATTACTGTATCTAAGTTTTTCTTGAATGCCTCCAGTGTTGGAGCATTCACCAACTCCCGAGGTTACTGGTTCCATTGTCGTACTGCTCTAACAGTTAGGAATTTTTTCCTGATATTCAACCAAAATCTGGCTTCCTTTAACTTGAGCCCATTGTTGCGTGTCCTGCACTCTGGGTTGATCAATAAGAGATCTTTCCCCTCCTCTGCATGACAGCCTTTCAGATATTTGAAAAGTGCTATCCTAACCCCCCCTTCTTCTTTTCTCAAGGCTCAACATGCCCAGTTCTTTCTGCCTTTCCTCCTAAAGCTTGGTTTCCAGCCCCCTGACCCTCCTTGTCGCCCTCCTCTAAACTTGTTCCAATTTGCTAGCATCCTTCTTGAAGTGTGGAGTCCAGAACTGGACACTAGACTCAAGGTGAGGCCTCACCCTTGCCGAATAGAGGGGGACTACCACCTCGCCGGATTTGGAAACTATACTGCTATGAATGCAGCCTAAGATAGCACTGGCCTTTTTCGTAGTCGCAAATAGGAAAGAATAACTCGTTTGAGATCCTGGACAGTTGTTGTCAATCGGAATCGCCCCCCCCCCGAAACCTAGATAGGCCTCAGGGGCCTGTCCCGTAAAGCTTGAGCATTCCCCAAATATTCATTTTTTGTGCACAGTGCCAGGCTGGGAGTGGGGGAAAAGGAACAATGGCAAGTGTTCATACAGCAGATTATTTGTATACCTGTTAACTCTGATCAGACCCTCCAAACTGGCAGTGGTACACCTTGAACAGTTTTACCCTCTCAGTGAGGATGATGGCTGAGCCTACTCATTGGACCCGTGCTTGCCAACTTCTGCTTTCACGCCAAGCCTTACCCTCAAGCCGGTCGATCCTCCGATCCCAGGGATTCCTCGTTCACCCTAAGTGGGGGTGGGGGAAATGACAGGGTCAATTGCACGGCAAATAGCGAACCGAGGAGCTGATCACCCCGAGAAACAGATCACAAACGGAGTCCCATTCCAGTTGCAGTCACAGACACAGCTTTCCCGCCCTCAGATCGCACCCTGAATGCGAGTTGACGGAATTCATTTCTTTAGCTAAATTAAAAATCAAATATCAATGACGGGAATGAACTGCACGC